ATCCTTACTGGACCGCTAGGAAGAACAGTTTAGAATTGAGAGAGCTATCTGGTACCATAAAGTCAATTAAAAATAATGACATGGAACTACACTAACTTTATTGAACCAATATCACCAACTTTATATTCAACAACTATAGAATGAAAAAAAAGAGGAACAATTACTATCTAAAGAACGAAAGAAACAAACACCAGTTGTCAAACACCATACACTGCTATGTTTACTCACCTAACGGTACATCAGATTTCAGAGATAACTTTACTGTGTTTGATAATGGTGTTGCCTTCGTGAAGAAGTTAAGATAACGTGAAGCAAAGGTTAGGTTGCAGGCTTCATGAAGGTCAATGGATACCTAAAGGAATAAAATTATGAACAAGGCTTAATATCTTCATTGCAAGCACTGTTTTCAGTAATAATTATAAATATAACAGGCTGCGGGTATGTGCCAAAAAAACAACCATTTATTTAAAACATTGCAGTACTTAGTCAAACTTGTGCTTTTTGTACCAGAAGATTAACTACTTTAATTCATCAGCTACACACCTCGTCGTCTTCCTTGTCAACACTGGTGTTCTCTCGCAAACTGACGTTTCCACTTCCAAGTTCTCCACTGCTTGAGAATCTCACACTATCCTTTACACAGGTAATTGTTACTAAAACACAATTTGTATATAAGCAATTTGTACAACATATTCTTATAACAAATAAGCATTTCTCACACACCATTGGGAGCTGTCACTGAGCATTTTAATTAACTTACCCGAATCTCCAATTTGGCTGAGATCACGGCATATTCTTTGTAGTTCTGCAGAAGGCATTTTGATAGTTGCCGAGTACTCAGTTTCCTAAATACAAATATTACACATTCTATTAATTAAAAGACACATTTTTCCTGCCTGACTCACGAGCAAAATTGGCTAATTTCCAGAAAGAATCCAGACTCCCATTACAAAGGAAATTCTTGCCATCTAGAGAGGAAGGAAAATCCATGGGGTCTTAGTTTCCAAATTTTTTTGTGGGGGGTGGGGTGGGGGGGTAGTGGAGGTAAGCAGGAGTGGAGGTAGATATAGGGGGGGGGGGGGTTAACAACCCAATATGGTCATTGAGGTCAACTTACTGGAATACCAAGGTGTTCACTGTCAATGTTCATTAGCATCATGCTGTATTCAGACACTTTTTCTTGGTCTATAAAACAAGTGAACAGAATGCCAACATTGAAGTTATGAATGCTAAAATATGAAGTTTCAACTCTCTTAATTTCAACATACTTGGACTTTCAAAAATTAAATTGACAGCATCAGCATTATCTTCCGCTCGGATTGTGACGACGTCATCGTTCGCTGCACATTTCATGATCTTAGAAAGACTAGAAGAATGAAAAAATAGTTTAATGATGAAGGATGATTTGCAAAGGTTCCAACCCTTCCAATTTGTTTGGGAATTTCAGGCAATTCTTTAATGCCCAAAGCTTTTCCCCTTACAAATAAAATCTAGAGTTTGCAATTTTTGCAGTGATTTTCTACTTCTGACAGATGTGAACGAGTGGGTGAGTTATGAATGTTCAGATGCGAGTACACATACTCAGAACATTAATAACTCATCCACTCTTTCACATCCATCAGAAGAAGAAAATCACACCTAAAATCGCAAGTGTAAACAGGCTTTTAGATTGCACATTTTAAAGGGTAAAAAAGCAAGAATTCATACTTGTTAATATTGAGTCCCAATGTTAGATTTCGGTCGCATCTGTACGGATCAAAACCTTCGGCGTTAAGGTCAATAAAACACAAGCTAACATGAGCGCTGTCCATTGCTTGCATTGACAATCCAGTGGCAGAGCAGTCCCAATTTGCCTCGTTCACAAGATCTTTGATGGCATCTAGGACCTTCTTGAAGAGACTGCCTTGTACAAGACGTGCTTCGAACATTTTGGTTTGTAGAGTGGAGTGTTTGGGAGGTTTAGAAAGAGGTTGTGAGGAACTGTAATGTAAGAGATGCTTGTGTTAAACATTGAGAAAAACTGTGGAGCATTACAGGTACATTTCAGGGTGCAATTGCACCCTGATGCATCCTACTTTAGTATTTTACTCTGTCTAACAGCAGACGATTTTACTTGTCAAGTGGAGAGTGCTGCCACTCAATGGGTTAACCAAACATGCATCCTCTTAACTGCCCATGCATCCTCATAAGCCTTTAGGTGGCAATGCACCCTGATGACCCGATTTTAGTATTTTACGCTGTCTAATGCCAGACAATTTTACTTGTCAAGTGGATAAGACAACGTCAGTAATAACCAGAACTTGACGCTTGTGATACATGTGCTTGACACAACTAAGTCTTCGTTGGGCCCTTCCATTACGACCTGTGAATCTGTACTATCTGGGGGACCGAAAGCTATTCTGGCAGCCCCACTTTATAAAATATTAGGGGTGGGTGGGGGCTTTTCTATGCCCCTGACCCACCCGAAGTAATTACCACAAGAGGTTCTGCATAACAGGATACATTGGTCGATAGTTTCATTAACTCATTGATATGCAACACTCTCCCCTTGGCCAGTAAAATTGTCTGGCGTTAGACAGAGTTAAATAATGTCGGTGCATTTCCGCATCAAGCTACTTATCAACACTTCTTATGAGGAAGCAAATTAAATCTCAACATCTATTTATTTGCCATCAAGTACGAGACTACTGCATGTTATATGAAAAGAATGAACATTATTTTCTCTTTCTGATAACTGCAATTTGATCACCATCTTCTGCACGAGAATGGTTTGGGTCTTTGGGAAAGCGAAACCTACCTAGTGATTCATAGTTGGCGCCATATTGAATCGCGATGTCGCCTTTGCATTTTAAAATTCAACATTTTGTACTTTTGAGAAATGTAAAAAGCTCTTTCAGGTCCATTTTTATCCATTTTACTTTCATTTACTAATAAATAATCGGTTTGTTTCACTATAAAAGATCGGAAATTCAAAAACCAAGTTTTGTGCAATTGTGCTTCGCGCGCAATCTGATCTTTGAAAAGCTTTGAAGGCGATGGAATCGCATTTTGAATTTGTCTAATATAAAACCATTTCAGAGCTTATTCATTGATGTCGAGACTATAGATTTCAAATTATTTCAGACTTAAATAGCATTTAAATCTAATAAATAAGTCGTCTGACTACCAAAAGCTCGATTTCCTTGGAATATTGCGCCATTAAAATTCAACTCATTTCGACCGAAATTCATTGAATCTACCCCTCAAATTCCACAACTACAAGCCCCTAACAATCCCTAAACATTTAATCTACAAGTACAGCAACAGATCGCCTAAAATCTGCACAGAATTTATGAAAAAAATCGAGAAATAAAATCATACATCTTACCTTACGAAGCTGTTGACACGTTATGGCGGTTGGCGGTAAAAATGTGTACATTACGCGCCAAATATATGAAATCCTTATTGGTCACTTTCGATCACGTGTGAGGAATTCGAGCGGGATCGCGCGCGTATTTATCCATGACGTCAGCGAAGATTCACGTGACCTCGGGCAAGTTTGAACAAGAATTTTTTTCCGTGGAGGCCTGGGAACGAGATATGGTTTTGTTAGTGTTTCCACTTGGAACTACTAAGGTTTTTTCATGCCGATGTTGTGTTATTTCTTGTATCTGAGATGCAATGTCTGCTATCACCTCACTGGCACTGAACATTTGATATTTTATCATGGATAGTGCACATTTTGACATGACAAAATTTTTGCACATCCAGCTTGGGTTGGTTAGCCGACAATGGTCACGAGCATGTGCATGAAAACACCAAATCCTACCACGATTTTGTGCCTGCCTCACCAGGCTAAGTTTGGCCTGTGATCTCATTAAATAAGAGACATAAAAGACAACTCGTACAATGAGATGCATTACTCTTTATTGAAAATGACAGTTATTATCATAATTTACAAACGTCTTCCACGTCGACCACCCTTGCGTCTTGTACTGTCTGATGGGATTGGAGTGACATCCTCGATTCTTCCAATTTTCATTCCGGATCGAGCCAGAGCTCGGAGTGCCGACTGAGCACCAGGTCCTGGGGTCTTTGTTCTACATATAAATGAAAAAAAATATTACAGAATTAAAAAAACATTGTTTATTCTTAATTTCAGGAGCAAAATATTTCAGGAGCAAAATATTTTAGGAGTAAAATATGTATTTTTGCTTTTATATTCACTATTATAATAGCTCATGTAATTTTTCTGATCAAAGCTAGCCTTTGCTCAAAAAGTTGAAGTCCTCCTTTTATTTTTCAGGTAGTTTATTTTTTTTTTAGCATCCCTATCAATCCGAAATTTTGTCTTTCACGCCACCACTGAAAAGTCTATGAATTAATCACCACAAACCATTACCTATTTCCTCCGGTAGCCCTCAGTTTGATATGTAAAGCAGTGATACCAATGTCTTTACATCTTTGAGCCACATCCTGAGCTGCCAACATAGCGGCATAAGGTGATGCCTACAACACAAAGAAAATGCACACATATTTTAATATTGGTGAATCTTTGCAGCTATACACTGCTATCAATTCTCTCTAGCATCGGACATTTTCTGACTAAATCACGGTTTTTCCAACCAAATGCTAAATTGATCGGAGATTTTGTCCAAACAAAAAATAGCAATCAACCTTCTTGAAAGACTGGGTTAACCATAAGATGCATGCAATCATCCCACAAAGAACATTAACTGTAAAAGTTTAACTATACTGGCTGGTGTTTGGCATAACATATTATTTACAAATTTGCTTAATTTGCCCAGTGGAGTTGAAAAATGTCCGCGACCAAAGTTGAAAGTTTCCGATCAAATTTCAATTTGGTTGGACATTTTTCAGGACAAACTTTTAACATTATTTCAGGCTCTTTTATTCATTATATAAATTGTTCAAGATTTATAAAGTTATGTATACCTCATCACGATCAGCTTTGACCTTCATGCCTCCAGTAACTCGAACAATTGTTTCTCTATCAAATATAACATAGGTAGATTAGTTTGATGTTAATGTTGGTGATGATGGTGGTGATGATGATGGTGGTGATGATGATGGTGGTGATGATGGTGGTGATGATGATGGTGGTGATGATGATGGTGGTGATGATGGGGGTGGTGATGATGGTGGTAATGATGATGATGGTGATATGGTGGTAATGATAATGGTGGTAATGATGATGGTGGTGATGATGGTGGTAATGATGATGGTGGTAATGATGATGGTGGTGATGATGGTGGTAATGATGATGGTGGTAATGATGATGGTGGTAATGATGATGGTGATGGTGATAGTGATGATGGAGGTGACTATGATGATGGTGCTTACAATGGTGGTGGTGGTAATCATCGGGTCGGCACAAAGCTCTAGGAAGATGTTCTGTGATTGGTTCATTATGACAAAAGAATAAGCTATAAAGAATGAAGCAAGAACAATATTCCTTTTGTTTATGTAAGCCAATTACGTCTTTTGTCATTGTCATAATCAACCAGTCACAGAACATCTTCCTAGAGCTTCGTGTTTACTGTAATCATCATGGAAATTTTAACTGCCACATAGCTAACCTAACCCAGCATTTTAGCAAACAGCTACTTCATAGAACAGAACTTACTTTCCAGAGAGATCTGTCACATGAACGAATGTATCGTTAAAAGATGCAAAAATATGTGCTACGCCGAACACGTCTTCTCCTTCAGTGACCTGAGGGCCAAGGGTGATTTGCGCCTCCTCTTTGGGAGCCTTTCCTTTTCTGGGAGCCATGCTATAATGGAATATTTACATGTAAAAATCACAAAATAAAACTAGAATTACACGCTGTAATCTCAAAATAAAGCTGTCAAGGGAAAGGAGGGTTATATTTTTATAGTATGTATGAATTTCAGCGGGAAATGGTGAAAAATAAAGCTAGGATGGGATGGATTCTATCAATACCTCAATTTTTTTCAAGAACGAATGAAAACAACATCAAAAAGAAAGATTCAAATTTTGGAGACCGAGAAAGACTGGTGAATAGTAGCCTGCATGGCAGACGGTCAGCCCTACGCAGAACACCTAAAAGCAGGCGGCCTAGGAACTTCATGTAATATGATTTATGAGTCACTGTGGAAGCACAAAAAAAAAAATTTGCCAGAAAAATATTTGGTTAATATTTTGCACCGAAAAGTTTAAAGCTTTTCAAAAGAAAATATGTGATAAAATATAGTTAGAAATAAAATATAAAAGCATTTATAATTTTTAAATAACAAAACAAATTTACATTTCTCAATTCTCAACCTTTTCTTCCAGGAAACTTTACTGGAAAAAGAAAGTGGAAGTAGAATTTTCCTTTCCGGAATTCCGGCGGTTGGCGGATAGGAATTTTTTTGTTCATTGTGTTTCGTCATAAATATCAAATATGACCAAACAAAAGTGAAATGAAAAGTTGAGAAAAAGATTGAATTATAAGATGCCAAGTGTAACTATCACTGGGAAACAAATCGCTACATTTCTTCAACTGGGATTACTCAGTGTTTTAGTATATTATGGTGTTCAATTAGTTATTGAAACTATGGACCCGACCAAGAAACGACCCGGACAATTAACTCGAAAAGAGGTATTGTGTATTTGGGCTGTTTTACTACACGAAAGACGTGATCTGTCGAGAGGAACGTCGGCAAAGACAAGATAGTTCATACGATAACTTGTCTGTGTATATTAAATATGGCAACAGATAGTTCATCTGTCAAGATGAACAGACATAATTTGTGTTTATGATATTTGTGTACTTGCAGTTTTAAATTATACCGGTATAAAATATGGCAGTGTTTACGTCAAATTGATGGCTGATAATTCAAGTTGACGTCATCAAATTTTAATCTCATCTACAGATCTTTGCCAAAAATTGGCTGCAGAATTTAAATCTTCAAACTCAAATTAGTCCATAACGAAAATTTCTTGATGTTCGGTAGGGATGTGCCGGGTACAGCTTTGCCGGACACCGGCGATGGTATTTGGTTGTCATAGATGAGTTGTGTGCTTGATTTACACAGTACAACTCAAGTTGTAAGCAGGTTGCATGTGACAGTTTTAGTCAAAACTTGTTTAGTGTGAATCGGCCTCGGCTTTTATCGGATAGTGTCGGTTGTCTATATTTTACCGGGTATCATATCTGGCACATCCCTTATGTTTGGACATTCAGGGAGTGATGTACAGCATTTTGAAAACTTTGTTTTTGCTTTACATTTGCGTGGAATTTTCGATGCTGTGAAAAAACTTTTCATAGTATATTTGGCTATATGTGATATTATGTAATATAAGATATTTGCTTAACTGTGTATTTGCTATATGTGATATTATGTGACTATTAAATTCATTTGACTTTTGATAGGCTGACAATTTGTTACAAAAGATTGGTTTGAAAGGCGTCAAAGTAAGAAAACATATTCATAAGAGTTTTGGGAAAACATATTGATGAAAGTTTTATCTGGCTATAGTAATAGTACATTTATGATTTTATTACAGTTAACCGAACATGAATTATCGTTGGCATCAACTTTAGTAGACCCATTGACAATTTCTGTCAACTGGTCAGACATCGGAGGTCTGGATAGTGTAATTAAAGATCTAAAGGTTCATTGAAACTTTTTAAATTCATTTAATTCTTGCTATATTTTTCTATTTGTTTATTTAGCCAAAGCTTAATGTTTATTTTACTTCTATTTTTAGGAGACAGTTATTTTGCCAATGAGGCAAAAATCTTTATTTAGAAAATCTCATTTACTTTCAGCACCAAAAGGTAAAGATTAACCCTTTAAGTGGCAATGCGCCCAGATGCATCCTACTTTATTACTTTACTCTGTCTAACACCAGATGATTTTACTCATCAGGGGGAGACTGCTGCCGTTCAATGGGTTAATCTTTAAATTATTTATTAGAGTTAGATTATTTTAGATTCAGGATTTTAACATGAAAGCATGTTACTAAACTTGTTTAAATTTATAATATTATCGTTTGTGGAAACAGCATGTTATTTTTATATTTAATTGAAAAATTATAAATAAAAATTTTAAAAAAAATTTTAAAAATATATAAATAAATTAATATTTTATAAATAAAAATTAAATAAATTTATATTTTATTATAAATATAAATTTATATAAAAAAATTATATATTATTTATATTATATAATATATAATTTATATTTATAAAAATAAATTATATAAAAATAAATTTATATTTTATTTTTATTTTTTTTAAATTTTTATTAATTAAATTTATTTCATACTAGGCGTGTTATTATATGGACCTCCAGGATGTGGTAAAACAATGATTGCCAAGGCAACAGCCAAAACTGCAGGTTTTTGTTAAACTAAACTATATTATTGTACCAATTTTAAACTTCACTACTGCTGAGGATCTGACATTTATGGTTTATTTAAATTAAGGGTGTCGTTTTATCAATGTCCAAGTATCCTCTTTGACTGACAAATGGTATGGAGAATCACAGAAATTAGCTGCTGCACTTTTTACACTTGTAAGTCTTGAACAACGATCACATACCCGATCAGAAATGACCATGCTTTTTTAATTGGTTCCTTTAGCCCAATTTACACTACATTTTTTTACTTAAAAGCATGATAGGTTCACTCAATCTTCTGCCGTAGCCGTACTTTATATGTTCTGGTGCATTCCTAATGGTGATCTATTTGATTTTTCAGGCTAGGAAATTGGCTCCTTGTATAGTATTTATAG